ATTATCAGAAGGAGTTTTTCCTGACATTATCTCACACTTTTTGAACTAGTTGTTGCCTTTAATTAGGATCAAAAACTCACATATTCCACTTAGTTTATATGTTTCTTAAATTTCTTTGAGTATTTAAGTTTCTCCTCTGTCCTACTTTTTTTCCTCTTGCAGTTATGTTTTTAATTTTATAGCTTTTATGTATTTATTTTTGACTTTAGATAATTTAAAAAATACATATTTTATTGATTTTTTTACAGAGAGGAAGGGAGAGTGAGTGATATAGAGTTAGAAACATCGATCAGCTGCCTCCTGCACACTCATACTGGGTATGTGCCTGCAACCAAGGTACATGCTCTTGACCAGAATCGAACCTGGGACCCTTGACTCCGCAGCCGATGCTCTATACACTGAGCCAAACCAGTTAGGGCTGACTTTAGGTAATTAAAAAAAAAAATTTATCTTTGAGAATATTACAGTTGTCCCTTTCTACCCCCTCTCCCGCAGCTGGTAAATTCCTGACCAGCCCCAGGCCTTCATCTTCCTATTGTCTGTGTCCATAGGTATTGCACGTATGCATATAAGATATTTAGTTAATCTCTTCTCATCCTCCTGCTTCCCTTCCCTCTGAGATTCGTCAATCTGTTCTATGTTCCATGCCTCTGGTTCTATTTTATTCATCAGTTTCTTTTGTTCACTAGATTTCTTGTTGGTTTATTTTGATTTTTAGATTTAATTGTTGACAGTTATGTATTTATTGCCATTTTATTGTTCATATTTTTGTTGTTGTTTTTCTTCCTTCTTCCTCTTCTTAAAGAATACCTTTCAACATTTCATCTAATACTGATTTGGTGGTGAGGAACTTTAGCTTTTTCTTGTCCATGAAGCTCTTTATCTGACCTTCAATTCTAAATGATAGCTTTGCTGGGTGAAGTAATCTTGGTTGTAGGTTCTTGCTGTTCATCACTTTGAATATTTCTTGCCACTCCCTTCTGGCCTGCATAGTTTCTATTGAGAAATCAGCTGACAGTCATAGGGCACTTCCTTGTAGGTAACTAACTGCTTTTCTCTTGCTGCTTTTAAGATTTTTTCTTTATCTTTAACCCTTGGCATTTTAATTATGATATGTCTTGGTGTAGGCCTCTTTGTATTCCTCTTGTTTGGGACTCTCCATGCTTCCTAGATGTGTAAGTCTATTTCTTTCACCAGGTAGGGGACATTTTCTGTCATTATTTCTTCACATAGGCTTTTAGTATCTTGCTCTCTGTCTTCTCCTTCTGGCACCCCCATAATGTAAATATTGGAACACATGAAGTTGACCCAGAAGCTCCTTGCATTATCTTCATATTTTGGATTTTTTTTTTTTTTTTTTTTTTTTTTTTTTTGTCTTCTGATTGTTTTTTGCTTTCTCATACTCCTAGTCATTGATTTGATTCTTGGAATCCTCTACTCTACTGTCAAATCCCAATAAATTATTATTTATTTCAGTTAGTGTATGATTAATTTCTGACTGACTTTTTAAAAATATCTCTGACATTCTCATTAAGATCCTTGAAAGTCTCACTAAGTCCCTTGAAGCTCTCTTTGATTTCCTTGTAGCTCTCATTAAGATTCTTGAGTAACCTTATAACCATTGTTTTGAACTCTGTATCCAATAGTTTTCTTGCTTCCATTTCTTTTATTTGTAACACTACAGGCCCAGTGCATGAGATTTGTGCCCTGGGGGCAGTAGGGGGTGGGGAGGGTAGAGGGAGGTGTCCCTCAGCCTGGCCTGCACTCTTTCACAGACTGGGACCCCTTGGGGGATGTATACCTGCTGGCTTAGGCCATATTCCCCAGGGGGATTCGGCCTAAGCTGGCAGTCAGACATCACTCTTGCAGTCTGGGACCCTTCACTCCTTACTGTCCGCCTGCAGCGAAGGTGGGAGAGGCTCCTGCTACCAGTGCTGAGCTTGCTGCTCCTTAGCACTGCTTCTGGCTGAGTGGTGTTCCCCTTGTGGAAATGCACTGACCACCAGAGGGCAGCTCCTGCCTTGAGTGTTTGCCCTCTGGTGGTTAGTGATCATCATAGCAACCAGCCATTCCGTCGTTCAGTTGATTTGCATATTGGTCTTTTATAATATACTAGTGACCTGGTGCATGAAATTTGTGCACATTAAAAGGGAATTAATTATAGGAACTATTTTAATACTGCTATTTGCCCTTTCTCTATAATAGATGTGTTAGAGATGAAAGAAAATTAGTAAAATACATATGAAAATCTTCCTCCTGTCTGAGTCTGGGTGCAGCCATCTTGTGTTACAGGATCCCTGCCTCTGCTGTAGGTGCAACCATCTTTGTTACAGTGTGACAGTCAATTTGCATAATCCCTCTTTATTAGATAGGATGATGTTTCATTGTCTCTGCATTTTGGCTGCTTCCCTGTGTTTGTTTCTGTATATTAGGTAGAGCTGTTAATGTCTTCTGGAATTGGTAGAGTGGCCTTGAGTAGTAGGTATCACAGTCTTGTTGTAGTCGAGCCTTGATTGTTATTGGTGTCACTGGGAATTGGAGGAATTGATCTGCTGTGCAGAAGATACCCACAGGGAGCAAGACTTGCTTCAGTGGAGCTTTGGTATTTACTGAGTCTGCCCCTGGATTGTGTTGCTGTGGCTGTGTAGAGTTGTAATCTTGTATGGTCTGAAGCTGTCCACTGGGTGCATTGGCTGTAGGGCCTCCCAGGAGGTGCAAAGTCATCCATTCTCTGGAGCCACTCAGCAGGAGCTACAAAGAGATCTGCAGATGTCTGCTACTTGTATTGGGCTAGGAAATGCCCAGGTGAGATCCATCTGTGAAGCAAGGCAGGCTAAGGCTAGTGCTGGCTTTTAGGCCTCTTATTGATAGGTTTGGGGCATGCTGACTCTGGCTGCTGCTTGTTTGACTTAGTTTTAGGAAATTCTGAAGCATGAGTCAGTACAGGCCATTCATGTGGAAAAGCTGCTGCAAACAGCTTGGGTGGGGCTGCAAATTGGATGGGGTGGGGGTATCAGGGAATCACCAGAGGGAGCCAGCAGTATGGGACACACTGAGGGAAATTCAGATATGGCTGCTAGTCAGCTCTGTGACAGGGGAGGTCCCAGCATAAGAACTATGGCCCCAGCACCCCTGTCTGGGAGAAAGCCACCCCTGAGTTCCTGCCCCAATGCCAGACAGCTAAGTTCCTCCAAGTATGTCCATTGATCCCCAAAAGCCACTGCCCAGTTTGGGGACTCGGAGGGAGTGGGATTGTGTAAGTTTGTGCTCAGTTCCTTTGAGAGGAACTGTCTGAGATTCTAGCAGTCTCTGTGTCACTCAGCCAAAGTCCCCGCTGTTGTTTTTTTTTTAATGTACGTTTTATTGCTGATAGTATTACAGATATCTCTTCTTTTCTGCCTTTCCCCACTTCCTTCGAGACCCTCTCCCTATGCCCCCCTCCCAACTTCACCATCTTGTTACCTGTGTCTATGGGATATGCATATAACTTCATTGGCTTATCTCTTTTTGTCACCCAATCCCACACTGAGGTATATCAGTCTGTTCCATGGTTCTTACAACCCAAAGTTAGGGAACTTCTCTTCCCAGCTTTGGAACCCTGGGCTGAGGGTCTGTTGTTGGGCTGGGACTCCTTGCTCCTAATGGGAGGCCTGTGCCATCACAACATCCCTCCTGATTGAAAACATGCCACAGGTGGGAGTGGGACCAGCCTGTTCCTCGTCTCCACCCTTCCTTTGTTTTGATGTGCTTTCTTCTCTAGTTGTAGGACTTCCATTCAGCCATGTTTCAGGTGGTTCTGAATGATGGTGGTTCTGTATTTTAGTTGTAATTTTGATGTGGTTGTGGGAGGTGACAAGTACTGGCATTTACCTACACCGCCATCTTGGCTCTCTTTGGTCGGGGCCTAAATAATTTTTTATTTTTCAATTATAGTTGATATACAATATTATATTAGTTTCTGGTATACAACCAATGATTAGGCATTACATAACTTATTTAAGTCATCATCCAGATAAATTTCACACCCATCTGACACCATACATAGTTATTACAGCACTATTGACTACATTCCCTATGCTGTATTTTATATCCGTGTGACTATTCTGTAACTACCAGTTTGTAATTCTTAATCCCTTCCCCGTTTACACCCATTCCCCAACCCCCTCCCCTCTGGCAACCTTCAGTACACCTGAAAATAATACATAGTAATACTGAATGTGAAATTCTTATTGAAAAATAGAATAAACTAGAAAAAGGAAGATGCTCTTTCTTTAACATGGGTCCTGTCCTCCAGGAACCCACAGTCTAGAGTTTGTTTAAGGTGATTTGAATAACAAAAGTACAAAGGAAGATATGAATAAAAAAAAAATCTGTGTTATGTTGTATACATTCTCTGACTTCCTCTTTGCCCAAGTGACACAATCCCCAAATGGCAGAGCCATGCACTGATGCATTTAACTCGGACAAATTCAAATACAGAATATGTGTGTATGTGTTTGGTAGTGTAGACATCACAGCTTATTCCTCCCACTCTCCCACCTGCTGAGCATTGCTCCTGGGTGAGATGGGGCGGGTCTCCTGCTCCTCTGCTTCCACATGCCCTTTATGACCTGCCTCTCCCTATGTGCCATTCTAGTGTTTATGTATACATGTTTCTTGTATGTTATGAGCCTGATGCATGCCAGCAGCTTCTCATGGTGTCCGATCTAAGGAACAGCGTTCTGTTCCCAAACTCGGCAATGTAACTGATGCTCAGGGAGTGTGATGTGGAGTATCTGTAATCTTCTGGACCAAGTTACTTTAGGAAGTTAACTAGTTTGAAAGACCTAACATCAGTGTTCCCAGTTTGACATCAGCTAGGATAGGGGCAGAAGCCAAAGCATTACTTTGCCATAAAGCCTTTACTTGTCGTGAAGTTCAGGTTTTAACCATCTCTCTCTCCCTCTCCTCTCTTTCTCCCTCTCCTCCTCCCCGCCTCCTCCCCTTATTTTCTCTTGCAGTCTGCTGTTTTGTTGTGCACAAGCGGTGCCATGAATTTGTCACGTTCTCCTGCCCAGGCGCCGACAAGGGTCCAGCCTCTGATGTAAGTAATGGGCACCAGCCACCTCCCTTTGTCCATGGTCACCGTGAGTGAGGACCCTGTGAATAAAGAAGTGAGGGTGGTCTCGTGCCAAGGCACATAGAGGTCCTTATAGCCTCTGGGACATTTTTCATTTTAATGGAAAAAACAAAACATTTTGGGCGGGGGTGTGATTGTACAGGAAACCAGCTAGTTCTCATACTGTGATGTTGCTAAATGTCTTTGCGAATTTTTATTAAATTTATTGGGGTGACATTGGTTAACAAGATTATGTAAAAGTTTCATGAATGTCTTCTCGTCTTGACAGCTGGAGAGTGGTGGGCGGGGCCGAGCTGTTCCCACAGCTGGGGAAAGGTGGTAGGCATGGCACCTTCCATGCAGGCCCCTGATGGCTCTTCACTAGGGAAATGCTGATATCAGGGCCCAGGAATGAGAAGGACATGATTTTGTCCCGTAACTATGCACCCCACAGTATGACTACTAGGGGAGAGGCCAGGGATGCTCCTAGGCAAAGCAGGCAAAGAATTCTTGCTTTAATCATTACGAATTTATTTTAACGTGGATTGGAAAAATGTATCTAGTAGTGGTTTTGCCTTTGTAATAGGGCTGTAAAATTTCCTACCTAAGTCAAGGTAAACCAAAGGTGTATTGATTTAGGGAACATGTTCAGTGAACGATGATATGGATACCATAAGGTTATGTATGGCAGAACCCTTAGTATGAGAGTTTTTTGTTTTTTGTTGTTATTGTTAATCCTCACATGAGGATACTTCTCCTTTGATTTTTAGGGAGAGTGGAAGAGTGAGGGAAAGACAGAGAGAAACATCAATGTAAGAGAAACACATCGATTGGTTGCCTCCTGCATGAGCCCTGACCAGGGCCTGGGCTGGGGTGGAGCCTGCAACCCAAGTATATGCCTTTCACTGGAATCGAACCAGGGTCCATAAGCTGACACTCTATCCACTGAGCTAAACTGGCTAGGGCCGGTAAGAGTTTATGTGAATTTGGGTACCTTGTTGATTGCCTCCTGGCAGCCATTTGTGGCCCTCACTCTCTGGCACAGGCATCTTTCATGCTAGGAGCTGAGATGCCTGGCAACTTGCTTTCCCACAGCTCTGTGGCTAGTGAATGAGCATGTGACCGAATTCTGCCCGGTGGGGTGTGGAGCAGAAGTTGGGTAGGCTTCTAGGCAGGGCTGTCCTTTCTGATAAGAGAAGACCTCTCTTTCTCGTCCTGCTTGTGGTTGTGATAGCTCCTTTCGGGTAGTGAGGGAGGCGTGGCTGACATGCTGAGCACGGCAGAGAGGAAGGAACCCCAGTCACTGAGACATTGATAAGCTAATGAGCCAACCCTGAGTTCCTGATGCCAGACTGTGTATGTGCGATAAGACGCTCAGCACGAGGACTTGTGAAGTCTTAGACTTCCTCAGGAGGATTTCCCACCATGTACAGCCTTCCACCGCCCAGTAATGAATTGCATCCAGGGTACCCACTGGGCAGTTGTCACCCTAGTTCTCTTATTTGTCCTGTTTTGGTTCACCCTCCAGAATTCACTACATGGATTTTGTCCATTATTGGTCCTATTCTTACCCACTTAGACATCTGCCTTCAGAGTGGTGGCCACCTTATGGCATTGAATTTCTTTGACTCTTGGTAACCTCTCACAAATAGTCACTTACCACGTCCCTGCAAATCAGAGGCATTTCTATTGCCACAGCAACATGAACACTTGAGAGCTCATGCTGCAATTGCTCTGCCTGGAAACTGGTACTTGGGGTTAAGAACTCTAAGCATCATGGAGCCAACAGTCCTTACTGGCCTGTCTGCAGAGACGAAGGTGGGAGGGAAATTGTCAAGTTCCCTCAGATCATGCTCCCTGACCCTCTAGTGCAATTGCTCTCTCATCCCCAGGCAAACAGGCAGGGAAGTTTGGGGGGTAGCCTGGTCCCATTCTGCTGCTCTGAACGTTCCTGCAGATGGAGGCTGTGTACTCAGGAGCAGCTAAGGGGTGTTGTTTCCGCCTGTCTGTGCAGGTGGGCAAAGTTGCGTTACAATTGGAGTACACGAAAGAGTTCACTCTTGTATTATTAATTAATGAGGGGCCCTATGCACAAATTCATGCACTTTGAAAGGAACTATAGGCTGCAAGGCTCCAGTGGGCACAGGAGCGAGTCTTGGTCCATCCTCTGTGCCCCCTCCCAGACCCTCCTGCCACGACCCTGGTCATCTGTCTGCAGGCAGCCCCATTCCTGCTGCTGCGGCTTCCATGTACTGATGGCTTCAGCCCCACTCGCACCCGCTGACATCAGGGCTGGCTCCGGGAGCCAGCAGCAGGTGTGAGCTCCGGGCGGGACCAAGGCGTGTGGGAGTAAAGAATTTTCAGTAACCACCAGAGACTCGCCTCATGACAGCGACTGGCACCCTGCCTTGATCTGACACCCCATGAGCTTGCCATATCTGCTTCACCATCCTGCCATGGCCTGCTATGCCCTACGTGCACCCCCTGTTGGTCAGTGCATGTCACAGTGACTGGTTGTTCGGCTGTTTGGTCTATTTGCATATTAGGGTCATACACACACACACACACACACACACACACACACACACACACACACTAGAGGCCCCTTGCAGGAAGATTCCTGCAGTAGGGCTTCCTGCTGCCGTCTCCGCCGCCACACCTGCTTCCCTTCATTCTGCACAGCCTGGCTTGCTTGTTTCTCTGCAGCTTTGCTCCCTTCTGCAGCGCTTGGCTTCTTTCTATGCTGTCTTCAGTCTTCACTCTGGCCTGGATATGCAAATTAACCGACATCTTTGTTGGGTTAATTTGCATACTCATCCTGATTGGTTGGTGGGTGTGGCTTGTGGGTGTAGCAAAGGTACGGTCAATTTGCATGTTTCTCTTTTATTAGAGAGGATATAAATAATTGTATTATTTTCCGTACTAACAACTGTAAACCTACTTTTTCCAACTCCTGTATTTGTTGACTTGTTCCGTTGCCTAAGGCAGACACTTAGCTCAAACTGGCTTATGTGAAAGAGGAATCCTTTGTCCCTGAAACTGAAAAGTCCAGAAGTAGGTTGGCTTCAGACACTTGGATCCGGGTGCAGATGTGAGGTCCTCAGGACTCTATTTCTTCATGTCTCGGCTCGGTCCTCCTGTCTTGGTTTCAACCTCAGGGACCTGTTTCTTTTTAGCTGCAGCGCCCCTCTTCTTATGTATCCTCATGGCTGCAGCTCCCGGGAGAAGAGTTGAAGTCTCATTGGACCGAGGGTCACATGCAGCCAGAAGGATGGCTGTGCTGCTTGGCCAGATCTGTCTGTGTCTGCTCCTGGAAAGGAGGGCCCTGTGCCTATCCCATAATTTGAGAGTCAAGGAGAGGTGGTCTCTCAGAAGAAAACTAGGGAAGAAATATTGAGAACTGGTTAGAAATCACACACCACGGAGCCAGCATTCGCAGGCTCAAATATGTGTGACCTTTGTGCCTTAGGTTCCTAAGCTGAAGATGGATAAATTAAGGGCCCCCACCGTATAGCCCTTATGAGCATCCCATGTGTAAATATCAGTAACAGCACCCAGGACAGCCTGGTCCCTGGCAAGAGCTGTGTGTGGAGGAGGTGATGACAGCAGGCAGCAAGGAAATGGTCCATGGCGTAGCCGGAAGACTGAGCAGGTTCTCTGCTGCCACCTGGCAGTGCTTCCTGGCAGTGTTCAGCCACATGGGGGGTAGGCATCCTTCTTTATTTTTGTTTTTAAAAAAAAATATATTTTATTGATTTTTTATAGAGAGGAAAGGAGAGAGATAGAGAGCTAGAAATGTCAATGAGAGAGAAACATCGACCAGCTGCCTCTTGCACACCCCCTACCTGGGATGTGCCCGCAACCAATGTACATGCCCTTGACCGGAATCAAACCTGGGACCTTTCAGTCCGCAAACCGACGCTCTACTGCTGAGCCAAACCGGTTTCGGCGGCATCCCTCTTTATATGCACGGCACAGAGCAGCCACCCATCACCTCAGCGTGGGGAGAGCAGGAAGCACCCTGCAGCTTCCAAGCTCGGGATTTGGCAGCTTACCTGGGATGATCCCATCTCCGGGCACAGTTCCAAGAAGGTTGGTTGGCACCAAGGATGATGAATTGGTCCAGACAGCTGAATTGATTTGATTCCCAGTTCATTGACCTTTCTTTGTCCATGGTCAGAGGCATGATTAAAGATCTGTCCACACCTGCGCACCAACCTGGCCAGGCTCTCTTTGGCTGCCCCTCCTGTGTGACCTTTGAGAGCTGGCGTGGCAAGTTCATGGAGCAGTAAAGCACAGTCTCTGTCCATGGAAACGGAACGTCCTGGGCTCTGCCCTTGACCCTCTGCTCTTCCAAGCCCAGCCTGAGCTAAGGAACATGCTGGATCTTAGAACCTTGTCTTCTACAGATAGGTCCAAGGCACGGAACATTAGTCCGCTTGAGGAACTTTACGGACCATGCACTGTCTCAGTGAGCTCAACTACTGACCCAGGTAGTCAGTGCCAATGGGAATCGACATATATGGGCACCCCCATGGAAGGACCTCCATGACAGAGTCCTGGCTGGTACTTCTGGTCACCTGCCAATACCCTCCTGGTTCCTGGTATCTTCCCTTCCTGGGAGCTCTCAATCCCTTTGTCTCTTGGACCATTTCAAGCACCATGTATGGACATTACAGTTACACATCATTTATAGTGCCCATCACTTATAAGGCTGTCCACATACACAGCCTCCAGGGAGATCTTCTCAGAACAAGAGAGAGAGGAGTTGTCTCTGAAGGCTGGGACTAGGGTAAGTCAAATGAGGCCCTTGCCCTGGGCACAGAATTCAGTCTCTCCTGTGTTGCTGGCTATCTGGTGGCTGGATGAACTAGGACGGCTCGGCTCATAGGACTGGCAGTGAGCAAGTTGTTGGCCTGGGAGCTGTGGTTCTCCATGTGGCCTGCGCCCTCCAGCTGGCTCACTCTGGCTTGTTCACAGGGTGG